TGTAAAGTGGACCAATCAGCTCTCTGTAAAATGGACCAATCAGCAGGATGTAGGTGGGGGGGGGTGGTCAGATAAGGGAATAAAAGCAGGCTGCCACAGCCAGCCAGCTGCAATCCGTTTGGATGCCCTTCCACACCCTGGACGCTTTGTTCTTTCGCTCTTTGCAATAAATCTTGTTGCTGCCCACTCTTTGGGTCAATGCTGCCTTTACGAGCTGTAACACTCACTGCGAAGGTCTGCAGCTTCACTCTTGAATCCAATGAGACCATGAACCCACTGGGAAGAACGAACAACTCCAGACGTGCTGCCTTTAAGAGCTGTAACACTCACCATGAAGGTCTGCAGCTTCACTCCTGACAGCAAGACCACGAACCCACCAGAAGGAAGAAGCTCCAGACACATCTGAACGTCTGAAGGAACAAACTCCGAACACGCCATCTTTAAGAGCTGTAACACCCACCACGAGGGTCTGCGACTTCATTCTTGAAGTCAGAGAGACCAAGAACCCACCAATTCTGGACACACAGCTACATAATTAGGCACTGATACAGAGAGACCACCACACCTGTGTACCCACCAGACCACCTGGACTTGTGGAATCTCTGGCATTCCCAGCAGCAGCCAAGAGGGCAAAAATGGAAATTAAAATAGGGAGGTTCAAGGAAGCTAACCTTTAGGGTACAGTCTGGCCAATGAGAGAGAGAATATAGGGAAAGTCTTTCCTTCCTAGTCCTCCATAAAGAACAAAATTCAAGCTCTTCTTTGATTAGTATCTCCTTGAGTGCTTCTGCAAGTCTCTAAATGCCTCATTCTTTTCAATCTTTAAAATGCATTCCTGTCTGTTTTCCCAGAGGTGTGATGAAAAGAAAATGAAACAATGTAAGTAAGAGCACTTGCAAGGATGGTCTTTTCTGAGACACAGTGATTTCTGTCAGCTTGTCAGGAGATGCCTCCCAAAGCCAGCTGTGCCTTGTTGTGGGGTTCTGGCTTTTCTGCTATGCACCGTCTTGTACTTGCTCTCCTGCGTTTCCTTCCATACTTCCTTCTGTCTGTGCCTCACTCTTGCATTCCTAGGACTATACCCTTCCCCCTCCTCTATCCACCCCCATGACCACCAAAGAATAAATAAAGCATCAACACAAATACCTAGGCCTCAGGCTCTATTTTCTAGAAACCAGGATCAGATAGGTAAGAAGTGTTACTATTCTGACCAGTGTATCCCAGCTAATGTTAGGCAGAAAAGGGATGGGTTTGACAGTTCAACACAAGGCACTAGGCAAAATATTCCACATTCCTCCAGGGCTAGTGATTATGCCTGTAATTGTCTTCCATTATGTTGCAGTGGGAGTGGTGAGGTGAGAAAAAATACCGTGCAGGAGGAAGTAATAATCTAAAGTGATGTTCTCCAACCCAGCTCTTACTAGAACCCAATGGGGGAAAAGAACACAAGGAACTCTGAACTTCATTAACAATTAGGTAAAATTTCAGGATTTAAACCCAGGTCCACCTGACTGCAGATTTTGACCTTTCAACCACAATGCTACATTGTAAGAGTAATTAGACTCACCCTCTTACCCTCCAGAGGGAAGAAGTAAAGCCACTGGATAGAAGTTACAGGGGGGATAGATTTTCACCCAACTAAAGGAATTCTCTGATTCCTAATGTTTTTCAGCCATGGAAATCCACTAACCTATTAGGTTAGTAACTTCCCATTATGATACATTGGAGGTGGGTTTTGTTTTGTTTTGTTTTACTTTTTTTTGAAATGATGTCTCACTCTGTCGCCCAGGCTGGAGTGCAGTGGCACAATCTCAGCTCACTGCAACCTCCACCTCCTGGGTTCAAGCAATTCTCCTGCCTCCGCCTCCGGAGTAGCTGGGATTACAGGCATGCACCACCATGCCCGGCTAATTTTTGTATTTTTGGTAGAGACGGAGTTTCACCATGTTGCCCAGACTGGTCTTGAATTCCTGACCTCAGGTGATCCGTCCGCCTCAGCCTCCCAAAATGCTGGGATTACAGGCATGAGCCACCAGGCCTGGCTGGAGGTGGGTATTTTTAAGTAGAAAATTATATCACAAAGTCTTATTATGATAGCTGGTCTCCAAAGATGCCTGTCTACCTAATGAATCATGCCTCCTGGTATTCTTGCCCTTGTATTGTCTGCCTCTACAATAAATCTGGCCTGGGCCTACATAGCCTTTAGAATGTAGAAGAAATGATGTTCCAGTTTTGGAGACCAGGTTATAAGAAATATTGGTGCTTTCACCTTGGTCTTTGGAAAGTTTATTCTGGGAGAACCTGACCACCATGTGAGAAATCCCTGAGACCACCATGGTATAAAGAAGCCCAAGGGGCCAGGTGCACTGGCTTACGCCTGTAATCCCACCACTTTGGGAGGCCAAGGCAGGTGGATCACAAGGTTAGGAGTTCAAGACCAGCCTGGCCAACATGGTGAAACCCCATCTCTACTAAAAATACAAAAATTCGTTGGGCATGATGACGTGGCTGTAATTCCAGGTTCTCAGGAGGCTAAGGCAGGAGAATTGCTTGAACCCAGGAGGCAGAGGTTGCAGTGAGCCGAGATTGTGCTACTGCACTCCAGCTTGGGAGACAGAGCGAGACCCAGTATCAGAAAAGAAAAAGAAAAAAAAAAAAGCCAAAGGTAGACATGTCTAGGGGCTGCAGAGAACAAGGAACACTCACTCACACACACACACACACACACACACACACACACACACACACAGAGAGAGAGAGAGAGAGCACCAGAGACACAGAGAGAAATCTCTTTCTATTCATCTTTGCTGAGGTGCTAGACACAAAAATAAAATAGCCATCTTTGAGAGCCAGCCATGTCAAGCCTTCATAGGATTCCAGCTCCAGCAGCCATCGGATTGCAATTGCATGTGAGAACCCAAGTGAGAAGCATTAAGCTGAGCCCATTCAACCCATGCAACCACGAGAAATAATCATAAAATATAAGTTTTAGCCACTAAGTTTTAGAGTTTGTGTAGATAGCCAAAATACAATCAAACTCAACACATCTAAACCTGGTCTCATTTGCTCTTCATTCCCTCCTCACCCACAAAACATGTTCCTCCTCCTGAATGTCCCTCTTTCTGCATCAGTGTCTCCTCATCACCTAATGAAGAGAGCATTTATCACATTTTGGCTTCTTCTGATCCAGTCTCCCTTCCCATGAGTACACAGTGTTCTTGGGGAATGTTTTCTCCATTGCATGCAGTCTTAATGGGGTGGTAATTCCAGGTAACCAGCTCCTTACACAGAGGATAAAGGAGTCGAATTCTTCCCCATCCTGAACAATCAGAGCTTGGACATATGATCCAAACTTCACTAATCATATGTCCTCTCTCTGAACTTTAAATCTTGTATAAGTGACTCCAGGACAGTAGAAATGATTGAAAGTCACTCATCACAGCAGCAATGTGCTTGCCAGGATCCCCGCTAGTAGGCCATTGCTGTGGTTTCTGCTTCCTAACTTCTGGGACTCTGGTTTCTATCAAGTATCAAGCCTGGTCTCGACTTTTGAGGATTCTGCGAGTCCCCCAATATCATTTCAATAACATTGTCATTTTTACCTACGTTAGCCACGGGAGGTTTTGGCTACTTGGGAAAACAGAAACTGGTATTCCCTGCAAGTCTACCAGGAACCTGAACATCATCCGGGTTTCTCCTCCCCATCATATTAGCCTTCCCCAAACCCAATCACTCGAGTCCTTTCAATTCCAATTTTCAAACAGCTCTCGAATCTCCTTTCCTGTACATCTTCACTATCACTGCCTTCAATCATAACCTTAGGTGATTTCTTACAATTATTCAAATTAATCTGGTGCTCCTCCAATCACTCCTCCCATTGCAATCACAGTGACCTTTGGAAATGCATGGCTACTTGTAACACACACACACACACACACATACACACAGAGAGAGAGAGAGAGAGAGAGAGAGAGGAGAGAGCAAGCTTCAATGAACTCTCATCTCCATTAAGATCAGTCCAAACTAGTTCCATTCTCACCTGTTCTGTCTATCTGTCCAGGTTCATCTCTCATCACTCTCCCACATGTGCTCTAGAACTTCACCCAAGTCAAATTATTTGCAGGTCCCTAAGTAAAACCTGCTGTCTTTATTGCTTTAGGCATTTGTAAGTGCAATTCCTTTTGTTCGGAATGTGCCTTCTCCCTCATCTACCTAGGAAGCAATTATTGGTTAAGTAATCACTCACCCAAATACTTGCATGGCTGGCTCCCACACCTTACCCAGGGCTTTGTTCCAAACTTACATTTCAGAGAGGTCTTCTTAGTCCACCCATCCCCACCTCAGACCTCTCTATTCCTTCAGCCTACTTCATACTTTTATAGAATGTGGCTTTATATTATGTGTTTAATTCTTACTATCTCCCTCACTACTCTGCAAGTTCTATAAAGACAGTGACTATGTTTTGTTCACTGCTGTATATCCAGACACTATAATGCTGTCATATAGCATTTGCTTAATGCATATTTGTTGAATGATTATTGAATGAGATCTATGATTTTATACATCTTATTTCAAGTAATACATAGGATGGGCAGGCAAGAGAAAGAGGCATTTTTAACAGTATATCAGCCCTCTGGGAGTAGAATTAGTATTATCACAACTAGCATCGCAGACTGATTCCCCTAACGCCAACTCAAAACCTTTTCCCAGGGCCACCCACCAGCCTCCCTAACTAATAGTAGCTGTTAGTTCTTTCTCCTCTCACATCCTTGCCTTAATAGCTTCTTCCAAGGCTACCTGACCCACAGTTGACCACAAGCTAACCACATAAATGACAGTGGCTGGATCCTCCCCATCCTGTACTCCAGCCCACCGCAGAGAGTTCCACCCCTCAGGGACCTATCCAGGCCAATATGCCCCACTCAAGAACCTTATCTAAAGCCCACACATCTATCTATTCGTTTTCCAGAAGTGATAGGGACCATAAAATTAACACTTACTCGGCATTCCCGACAGCTCTTGGTTAAAATCCGCTGGCCTTCTGCAAGAACTTTTCCTCCATAGATACATTTTGCTGTAATAAAACATAAAAATGGGTCAGACAGTCCTGCTGTGCCACAAAATGACCTCAGAGGTACCTTCCAACTCCAACAGATTCCACAGAAACCTAGATTCTCTGCTTCTGAGCAATACAAATCTCTTTGTCTAAAGTGAAAGACATGGGGATTGTGTGGAGGATAACCCTTAAATCTCCCAGGCAGGCCTCATCATGATTGTGTTTGCCCAGCCTTTACAGCCAGGATATACAATTATTTCAATGTTACAGTTACCAAAGGAACTAGAGAATAAATTGATGTAGTAAGAAGCTAAAACAAGAAAGAACTGGTGGCAATCGCTGTGGAGTACAATTAGCAGTAGCTTTGATTCAGACACTCCAGCTAAAACAAACAACTGGGTGAAAGGGGACTCACAGATACTCCATTCCTCAGAACCTCAGCCACAATGGAGAAGGACACCGTTTCTTCTTCCTTGTGATCATGGGCGTGGGCGTGAGAAATACACATGAGACAAGTGAGAAATACCAGGAAAGCCTGTAAAGTGCTAGATCAATGCACTAGAGAGAATGCCTTTGGAAAGGTGAGTTTAAAAGGCTGCCAGGAAGGGCAGGGGGGTGAACTTGCAGAAAATTTCAAAGAGAAACATAAATGGAGCCCCTACCACTCAATTTAGATTGCACTGAAACTCATTTCTTGACTTAACTGGCTGACTCACTTTTAAGCAAGTACAGCTTATGTCAATTTGATATGATCCTAATATAACACCACCAAATTCTCCATCCACTTCAACAGGAAAAAAGCAGCAAATATCTGGTCACTCCCTCTCCTGCCCTGATGAGGACCCTTCTAGCCCCAGCTCTAGGAGGAACAGAAGCAATGATATGCACTCTAAGAGATCTCTCCCACTAATTCAGTGTTGGTCTTATAGAACCACCTCACCTTTCAGAACCCCTATATCTGTATCTGTTAAAAATGGGCTGATTAAATCTGGTGGTTTCCTAGTTATAAAATCCTCTGGTTTTCATGGGATGTTCATTCTTCATTCAAATAATATTTTAGTGTTACTAAAGGGCAGGCAACATGCTAACTGGTGATATAATGTTTCAAGAACGAAAGCTGTTTTCTCATGGAGCTTACAATCAAGGAAACGGACAGTAATTACATAATCACATCAGTGAATGTATAATTACTAAGTGAGGCAAGTGCTATGTTTGCAGATAAAGAACCTAGACCCCTTTCAATGTTGAGGGGCAAGATATGAAAGGCAAAGAGGGTGACCAGGCGAGAAATAGGACTTTCATTCCTCCCTTCCAATAAAATAAAATAGTAGTCATCTAGTCCATTTTAGCCACAGGAAGAAGTCCAGGGACATGCTTTGCTTAACATCATACCCTGTAGTCGATGCTGTGGCATGTGGAGATCGACTTCCATGAGCAAAGGATACATTCTTACAACTGCTGTGACAGCTGGCAACTAACAGCTGTCCCCTGAATGGAGATCTAAGACTTGTATAGGGCTGTAGAGAGCCACCTTGCCCAAGGTGAAGAACATGGTACACAGTCCTGGCCCCCTTTCTCCAAACTCAGGACAACTCTGACGGGCCATTCCAGCTCCAAAGCTCCCTGTAGGAATGAGTTCAGTATGTGTTGTCACCACTGCAGCTCAACTTCTCCTTCTGCCCAATTCTTCTTCCTTCACTACCTCACTCCTATCCCAGAATTGATCCTCAGAGCACTTCCTAATAAGGTACATGTAAATCTCTATTTCAGAGCCTGCTTCCCCTCAGAACCTGACCTGTAGCCACCTCACTCCCCACCCAAATATGTTCCACTCCTGCATTCTCCTCTCAGTGAATGGCAATGGCACAGGTATCCATCCCAGCTCCCACACCCCAGTGCCTGGCATCCTTCTAATCTCTCTGTCTTATACAACTCCATGTCCAATCAGTGTCCAAATCCTATCAATGTTCCCTTCTTAAGTTTCTCAAGTCAACCTCCTCCTCTCCATTCCCCACCCTCTGCCCGCAGACACTGTCTTTGTTCAGACTGTCATCGTCCCTCTTCTTCAGTACTACCACAACCTCCTAGCTCTCCCATGTTCTAGTCTCTCCTAGCTCTCCCATGTTCTAGTCTCAATCTTCACCAGTCCTTCCCCATGTAAGAGTCAGACATACAGTTTTTTAAGTGCAAACATGAGGCCCTGCTTAAAATCAGGGTCCCTAAAGCTCTCAGAATAAAGTCCAAAATCCTTAGTTCAACAAACAAGGCCATTCATGAGGCTTCTTATCTCCCCAAGTCCACAGCCCACCATTTCCTGTGATTTCACTCACCATCCCAAACACTCACACCTCCACATACGTTCTAGACACACTTTCTCTCTCACTTCCAGGCCTTATATATACTGTTCTCTTTCTCAGAAACACCGGCAGAGCACCCCACACACCTTCCACTGGCAACCTCCCCCTCTATATACCCATGAGCTTCCGCTTAGGGCTGACTTCCCTCAGAACTTGTTCTTACCCTTTAACACTGGTTAATCATCCTCACTTTTTTATTCTATTGTACTTTGGACCTAATCCCAACAGAATATATATCACATGACATCCTAATTTCCCATTTAATTGTACACCCCACCATGTCCCTGCTGCTAATTGCAACCTCCATGAGGGTAGGGACAATGCCTATAATTTTATCTCCAGCCCCAAGCCCCATGCCTCAGGACTTATTGTGAGTAATAATAAATCATTTTCAAATTAATGAGCCTCTAGTAGGTAGCAAAAAACAAATTTCTTGATCCACAGATAAGAGTTATTTCTGGCATTCAATACAACTTCAAACATTAAAAGTAGATACCAAAAAAATGGAGAATTAATATAATTGTCTGGATAGGTCCTTCACTAAACAAAACCTATCCCTGATCATCTTTTATACCTCAATTTTGTAGATAAATTGGTTGACCATGACTTGTTGATCCTAATGAAAGCTGGATTTTCCAATGTACTTGTATGGGGAGACCACACCTCCAAGGTCTGGAATTCCTGTCTAATAAATTCCCACACTCCCAAATGTGGCTGCTGCCAACTTGGCAAGGCAGTCTGTTCCAGAGTGACAGTTCTGCTAAGTGCACTGTTGTCAAATCTGCCATCTGCTTCTTGGCCCAAGCTGGGAAGCAAAGAAATAGACATTTGTTCTTCCTTTGCCTCTTGCCACTCCCACAATGGTATTAACACATTTGCTCCCCTGCCTTAAGGCACTTGTCCAAGTGCCCTTTGAGAGGCTCATCTCAGAACTCCTAATCTGGAGATTAAAATGCCTCATTGTTTACATTCACACCACACATGGAGACACATCCACCCCTCGAATCCACCAGTCTCTTATAAAAATTAAATGTCCACTGAACTTTATGTCCTCACATAGCAGGGTGCTTTGGTGCTGGCGAATGAGATCAACATGTTACTGCATGCCTCAACCATCTGCAGTTTGGCACTGGTGAAGAATGTATGTATCTATGAAATTTTCTTAGGACAACTTTCAGGATCACCACTGGAGGTCACAAGAATTTCTCCTGCTTTCTCATACTCATCCTCACTTCTCTGACAACAGCCCTCCTTCCCTGCCATCGCATTCCTATGCCTAACATCAGTCCTCATTATCCAACCTCTTGATCTATAGCCAAAAGGCATTTTTTTATGTCTGAGGAAATTCAAGCATAAGGTGAGTCAGGCTCTGGTGCGTTTGGCTGGGGCATTTGGGACTCCATTCCAACAGCTTTCAGTGTAATTAGAAATGTAAATGAATACCTAAAGCTCTTCATATCACACTGGTGACATGCAAACTAGAATATTTTGCAGTGCCCAAACACAAAATTGAAACCTAGCACCAACACACATTTCTCCATTATGTCAGAAACAAATGTACTAAGGATATAAAGAGTTATGCAGTGTATCTTTTTGCACCCACAGACACCTGGCCCTTCAATTTTGACCTTGATTTGTCTGGTGCAATAATTGAAGACTTTTGCCATTCAGGTGCACACTGAATAACCAATTGACAGGTACAGCTTGACGTCCCTGTCAGATGTGGATGTAAGGTTTCCCTATCTTTATTTAGGTGTTTGTACCCTGCACACACTTCAGCCATCCGTTGGTACTCAGCGGCCTAGAATGTCAAAATCAGCACACTGTTTTACACTTTAAAGGAGAGTGGCAGATCAGAGAGGCTGAACACCCAAGCATCCTTCCTCCCTCAGTGAGCTGATTCACAGCCTTGGCTTCAGATACCACCTCTATGAGCAAGACACCCACATCAAACTAGTTGTCCTCAGGCATCTCTAACTCAAACATGTCAAACGGAATGTACTGCTCCCCAAACTGCTTCCTCCACCTGTCTTATTTCTGTTAATCACACCATGAGTCTCCCACATGCTCTTGTTCAAAACCTGGCAACTTCTCCCTTGCAGATGCTCTGTCCCTGATCCGTTTGTCTCCTGCAAAACAGTACCTGTGGAGTATCTCTAATGTGCCAGCTCCTTTGGTTGTCACCCACACCCTTCCCTTCCTTTGCATCTTCCCAGGCTGTGCCTGCCTGCCAGCCTCAACACCTCCACCTGGAATACGCCCAAGTTCCATGCCCCCCACCACCTCCAGCTCTCTTGATGCAGTAGCCTTTCTAAAAGCACATCTTTGATTATGCCACAACTCTGCATTAAAACCTTGATTGGAGTACCAAAACCAACATTGGTTTATTTCCATGATTTTGTGTGTGCAATTCCCTCTGGCAGTTATGTTCTTATCTACTTTGTACGCCTGGAAAACTCTTCATTTGTCAATACCCTGCTCAGCTGTTGCCTATGATGTTTTCTTAACACACACATACATATGTACGCTTCAGATGGAGTTAATTACTCCCTTCTCTGTGTGCCTTCTATGACTTCCATAGTGTTCATGTGAAATAATGCTCTTTATTGTAACAGAGATCTCTCTGGAGAACAATGGGTAGAGCCAACAGGTCAAGAGCATCCCACTGGGTTCTGAAGCCAGACTGCCAGGGCTTTATTTTGGCTCCCCGAAAACTGAGAGACCTTGGACAAGTCACTTCTCCTCTCTGGGTTTCACCTCCTCATGTGTAAAATGGGGATAATAGTGGAGCCTACCACTTAGAGTTGTTGGAAGAATTAAATGAATTAATATATATAAAAGGTTAAATACAGTGCCTGTCAGAGTAAATGATCCATATGTGTCCACTGTTGCCCCCAGAACTGACAACAGTGTTTGGCAGAAGGACCTCAGTAAGAATTACTGAATGTCTTCACCATCTTCATCATCCATCCGCCACTCAGGTTTGCAGCTCTATTTCAAACTCTCACCTACAAAAATCCTGTGTTATCATCAAACACACTATATTCCCCTTTCCCTCTTCCACTCTTATTCCTTCACACATACTGTTTTGCATGGAAGAAATATTTTTTTCTCCATCTTCCTCACTCCTTCTATCTCTAGTAGATCTCAAATCTGTCTACCAAAATAATACAGATTTCAGGATGTTGCTGCCTGGAGATTGTGATTATGCAGGTCTAGGTGGAGCCCTGGAAACCTCCAAGTGTAAGAAGTTCACCAGAGAATTTTAACATGCAACTAGGTATATTAAACATGCCCTGAATAGAGCAGACACCTAACAAATGTTTGAGGAATGAAACTCCCTATTTTCTGTACCGCCATGGATGCTTAGATAAAGTTCTTTCCTATTTCTAAACAGATGCCCTCATCTGTAAGTGCTGTAGCTCCCAAGGCCAAAAGAAGTCCGTGAACACTCAGTGAGTGAGCAGACAACACAATCTGCTTTTACATATTGGCTCATTTTGCCTTTGTCATGTCCCTGCCTTTACCTGGTGTCCCTAGAAGCTTGGGCATTTTTCTTTAAATTCACATAAAAGAAATTTACTTCAGGCAGCTCCACAAAAAAATGAAAAAAATCAAAATAAGCAACCAAACCAAGGAAAAACATGGTACTCAGGAAACAGTAGTTTCAATTATATCCCTCACAACATTAAATGTGAATGGATTAAAGGATCCAATTCAAACAAAACAATCCAGACTGTCAGACTGGATTTAAAAAAAAGATTTGACTATGAGTTATTCATACAAGATACACTTTATTTTTTGTCATTTTTTAAAATATTTTATTATTATGTTTTAACTGACAAAAGGTATGCATATTTACGGTCTACGGCATGATGTTTTGAAATACGTAGGCACTGTGGTATGGCTAACAACTAACATATGCAATACTTCACATACTTATCTTTAGAAGGGACAACCAAAGTAAATATTCTCTATCATGTTTCTGATATGAAGACGTTGAAAACGTCTAGAAATTCCACTGATTAGTGTTAGAACTCTGCTCTAGCAATCCTCATTCTCTTCTCCACCCCGCTGCTTAACCCATCAAACTCAACTTCTAGAAGGTTCAAAATATTTAACTTGGCTCCATGTCCTCCAGGAAGCATCCCAGGCCTTTCCCCGGTATCCTCCACCTCCCTCCCAGGCCATTCCTGTGTACTCCAACAGTGCTCCGTACACATGCCTAATGTTAGTGCACTTATAGTTCCAGACACTATAAACCATGCCTCTACCTTGAAAGTGAGCTCCTCTAAAGCAGGGAAGGATCCCTCATCATTATTCCAGGCACCAGTACTCAGTAACCACTTAATGCACATTTCTATTAAAAACTAGTAAGAAATGAAAGCCCTCCAGCCCAGAGGTTCTCAACCTTTTAATTACCAGAGGTGCCTTGTATCATTTCTTTTTAAGTTTTTCTAGAATAGTGCTTTAATAATGTATTTGTATTCCCACTTTATTAAACTCTGAACACATCAAACTACCAATCAGAGCTATGAGAAAATTAGTGCTACGTAACTAAATTGCTATGAATTCCATGCAAAGGAAAAAAAATAGAAACACTGATGTTTTAGTTAGTGCATGTATCAACATTTTAATAAAATTGAGTTATTTTCTGAAATAATTTTTAAAACCTAAAACTATCAAACAAATTAGCATAAAGGAAAATGACTGTCCCACACACATCTAGTGAGAGGGCAATTTAACTCTATGTATCCAGGGTCTTGAAAATGTTCATCTTTGGCCCAGTAATTCTAGCCTGAAGAATGTATCTTCAGGAAATGTAAAATACAAAAATATACAAAAATGTGTTTTCTATACAAAACATGTTACTTAAGAGTACTTTATAATAGTGAAAAGTGGGAAACAATCTAGATATCAATGATTTGGGACTGGTTAAAAAAAAGTTATGCAACAGTCAAACAATGGGAAACAATGAAGCTCATGAAAATGACATTTATGAAGAAGTTTTTAAAACATAATAATATATTTAAGTGACAATGGCAAGTTAACAGACCAGAATACAAAATTGCCCGCACAGTACAACCTCAACTGCACACAAAATATAATTTGTTTTTTTAAAAAAAGGACACAGCCACTAAAATTTCAAGAGTGTTTCTAAGTGGAGGTATTATGGGTGAATAATTCCATCTTGATCTTTATCATTCTCTGTGTTCTGAAAATGTTAAGCCAAAAGCACAGTGCTTTTATAATTTTTTAAAACTATCAAAACGTTAAGACACAAACCCGCTGAAGGACTCATTACTTCCATGTCCAAACAACAACTTTGAAGAGATGGTATTCAGAGATCTGTGCAGGAACTCTAAATGATAGACTAAAACATCTCACATTTTTTAATACATCCCTAATAGCTTTTCTTTTTTGTTTTTTTGTTTGTTTGTTTTTTGCTTTTTTTGTTTTTTTGTTTTTGAGACAGAGTCTCACACTGTTGCCCAGGCTGGAGTGCAGTGGCACGATCTCAGCTCAGTGCAACCTCTGCCTCGCCTCCTGGGTTCGAGCAATTCTCCTGCCTCAGCCTCCAGAATAGGTGGAATTACAGGTGCCCACCACCACACCCAGCTAATTTTTGTATTTTTAGTAGAGGATTTTGCCATGTTGGCCAGGCTGGTCTCAAACTCCTGACCTCAAGTGATCCGACCGCCTTGGCCTCCCAAAGTGCTGGGATTAGAAGCATGAACCACCGTGCTTGGCCCCTAATAGTTTTTCAACTTCTTCTGCTGAAGAATATCAAGAATGAAAACAAATAATCTGTACCTACCAACAACTCTCTCCATCATGGGATCAAACTATAATTCAGTATCCAGACACCTGAGCTGCCTATATTGCCTATATATGACTTCCAAAAGTTCTTGGAACAGAAATAAGAAAGTTCTTCTCCTTAGAGCAACTCCAAGTATATCCCCCAGAGCAATGGGTGCAGTGCGCCAACCATAAAAAAAAAAAAAGGAAGAGTACAAAGTTCCTTTTTGAAAAGTTCAACAATTATTTGGGCTGCTGCAACCCACTTTCACTGCTATTCCCACTTTCAGTGTCATAATAGGTGACATGCTGTTCCTGGCAGAATGATAGACCACTGTGCTTTGAAGGCTACTGACATTGGTGTGTTTCCTTTGGTAAATAAATGACCTTGAAAATTATCCATAGCATACATTTCTGACCAGAACTCTCCCTTTCTGTAGAGGACCATATGGATTGATAAAAAGGCTATGGGCTTTGTAGTCAACAGAACTAGTTTTCTGTCTCACCTCTGCCACTCACCAGCCTCAGAATCTTGGTGAGTTAACATCCCTAAGCCTCAGCTTCCTGCAAAATAGGGGTAATAATAATACCCACCTCAAGAGTTGCTGTGTGAATTCACTAAGCTAGTAGATTTAAAGCATCCAACACAGTATATGGCACATACCACATGTTCTAAATGATAGCTTCCATATTTTAACTGAATTTCATCCCAAAGTTCCTAACAAAGGCCCCTTAAGAAGAGGAGAATCTAGCCAAAAAACCTCAGAAAGCCAAAATACAGAATTTGGCCTTTAACTTGATCACTTAGAATGAGGGGACTAAAGCCTATGGAGCTTCGGAGTTGTGAATTCACAGATCAGCCTCACCCACTTGTTGGACAAGTGACTTAATCCCCGTGAACACACGTTCCTTCCACATAGAATGAAAGAAGAACAGTAATTACAGTTGATGTTAGGATTTTTTTTAAAAAGCCCATGTTAAGTGTCTGCCACGCTGCAAGTGATTAAAATATTGTGGCTCTTCTTACCATATATTTAATGTTACATCAACTGCCAATGTTTCATTTCATCAATGTCAATGAGTTGAGTCCAGAAAAACACGGAAAATAAATACATCTCAAAACACAGACAGCCAGTCTGACCCTCAGTCAGTACTTACGTCGGCAGACCTTACAGCACTGGCCAGCAATGTGCACCGGGAGGGAGTCTGGGGAGCAATTGAGAGGGGGACAGGACATCCTTCGGCATTCCACGGCACCACTCTGAGGAAGGAAGCACAGGGAACATAATCTCAGTAGTATCCTTTGATAGCTCCTGTTGTGGAGATCATTCAAATCTCATCCTAGAAAACGCATCAGGGAAACAGAAGCAGTATTAGAATTCCCAGTCCACTCCAGGACCACAAATAAAGTGTTTTCTCTAGCCCCAATGACCTGTACCACCTCAATTACATTGCTGAAATACATCACTGGTTTCATTCTACCTGCCCATGTGTGCTAACTAGATTATGCAGAAAACAAAACGTCTATTTTTATAAGAACATAAATAACACATTTGCAGACCCTGTCAATCATTTCTGAGGCTCTAACAATCTGTTTTGTATTTTCCTAGACAAACAATGGCATTCTTTGGATATTTATCAAGTAATTTCAACTGGACAGGGATTACATACTAATTTTTGGAGGGGGCTGTTAAAATTCACTGAAACAGATGAAGGGATATACAAATAATGGATATCCTGACAGTGATAGTGAGTCAGGGAGGAAACGCCTTACAATTATTTGAAACAGGTGATGGATACACTTTGTAAAAGACAATAAAAACATGTAGAGAATAATTAAACTCCCCTTTTAAAGTTATTCTGGTTGTGAATAAGGATAACCATTAGGTTGTTTGAAAATCAAAGGAGTCCCTTCTTTCTACTATATCCCAACCTTCAAACTCCAAACATTGCATATTAAATCAAACTAGAGTGTGTTGGCAAGGGAAAGCAGATTTTAATTTCCAAGTATTCATATAAGACATGACACTTTTCCAGCATTGTTTCACAATTGCTCATATGGCTAGTGGGTGCTAAGTAAAAACCTAACAATTCTTTAGAGTTAACATTATTTATTAAAGAACCAGGTTACACTCTAATTATCAAACTTGTCCCCTTACAATTGTTTTTACTGTATTTATTTACAAAGAGGCTTACTTTGCAAGTGCAGTTCCTGCAATGGTCACCATCTACCCAAGAGTCTTGGTCTCGATAGAGCAGTCCACTCACTTGACAAGTCTTCTCACAATGACAGTTTTCCAATTGACTAAGTCTTGTCTCTGCATAATTTAGCTGCAAGCAAGAGTTACTGAATGTAATTTCTGTAATTCAATTGCATCATCCTAACAAAGCTAATAGCAACAAGAAAAAAAACCCTTCCGAGAAGAAAGTGCTCAGAGCAGTTCACTGATTCTTAGCATTATCTGTTTTTTGTTTTATTTATTTTTTTACACAAGGTGGAATCACTCTAAATTGAAGACATATTGGCTATCATGGTCTAATGAATACCAAATGAGACATTAAACTGTATCTCAGGAACCTCATGGGTGTTCATAAATGTGTGTGCTTTCCATTCAAGCCCACACAAAAACACTCATAATGAATGTGTTCTCAAGGACTCATTATGATGTTTACAGGCGATCTAATCAGGAACTCCAAGGCTCTTACATTTATCTCCCACTATCCTCTCTATGTTCTTCACACACTAATTAGAATGTCATGGTTTACAAACTAGGAAGTTACTGCCTTCTGTCTGATGAAAAATTCTGGAGAACTGAGGCCAGAAAAAAAAGAAAAGTTGTAAGAGGATCCCCCAAACAGAATGCCCCAGGAATTCACTTTTGTGTTTAGAAGGTCAGGAAAAGTAACCAAACCCCCAGGTAAGATCAGAATTTTGTAAAATAACCTTTTTTATTTTTCTAGGCCACCCAGTCATTGCCAATAATCACAGAGTCTTAGACTCTCCCGCTGGAAAGGGATTATAAATCTTGAATATCCTCACAAGAAACCTCAAGTGATTATCTAGCCTTTGCACATCTCCAGTGGAGGAACATGTATTATCTTCCAAGGAAAGCCACTTTTTTCAGTTAGCTCTCAATGTTTGAAACATTTTTCATGGTTTTGGCTGTGAAATTTTTTTTTTTTCCTGCCATGCCTAGGTTTTCATTGTAACCTATCCTGAGCAAACCTAATCTTCATGCATTTGAGGTTATCCTGTCGTCTTGACCACACTTGGCACGAATAGGTTCCCTTAAAAGCTCCTCATATGATTCCAAGCCTCTCTTCTGATCACTTTTCATACAGCCTACTCCAGTTTACCTTCAAAAATATGGTGCAAAAAAACCCTAAATACAGCACTTTGATATGATCTGTCTACTGTCACATCCATATGAAAGAGTAACTCAGTCTAGTAGTGATATTACTCTCCCTTTCCCTTTCCTTACATAGAGACCACTATGACTGAAAAACAAATATCATTTCCTAGAAAATTATCTGAGTTTCTTTTTCCCTTCTCAATCATGTTTATCCTTTCATGTCTTAAGTACTTTCTCCATACAGAAGATCAATTCAAGATTTGATCTAACTAAGATTATTTTGAGCCACTATTTTAAATATAATAGATAAATCTAGGGAAAGACTTCCACCATCTTTCTACATTAACTATGGTTCCATTTCATACACATTCCTCCGACTTACTCATACCAGAACTACTCTCTGGAAATGGAATCCACATGTAATTCTATCCTTTGTTTTTGTCATTTATTTCATCCTCTTCCTCCAAGCTTTTGGAATTTCTCAAGAAAACTTGCCCCTTGTCTGCCTTTTATGGGTGGTAGCAAAGGGCAGAAAAAACAACAAATAGGATCTTAGACCAACCACCATGCACCATGAGCAGCCCCTAAAGACCTAAGAGTTGACGCTGCCTGAAATATTAGCTTCCTATCACTCCTTCTAATATGCATGATCTTCTAAAAATTTATGTTTCACTTAAAACCCCAACCCAGGCCAGGTGCAGTGACTCACACCTGTCATGCCAGCACTTTGGGAGGCCAAGACGAGCAGATGACCCAAGGTCAGGAGTTCGAGACCAGCCCGGCCAACATGGTGAAACCCTGTCTCTACTAAAAATACAAAAAAAAAAAAAAAAGCCAGGTGTGGTGGCAGGCGCCTATAATCCCAGCTGCTCTGGAGGCTGAGACATGAGAATCTCTTGAACCTGGGAGGCAGAGGTTGCAGTAGGCCAAGACCACGCCAGTGCACTCCAGCCTGGGCAATAGAGCGATACTCCGTCTCAATAAATAAATTAATACAACAAAACTCCAGCCTAATCATAGAGTTTATAGAATCTATGATAATTAAGTTGTTTGGCAATGCTTTAGGAAACAGACAAAATACACTTCTAAGTTTGGTGATACTCTTGGACTCTGAGGGATGATGGCATATGGTTTGGCCACTTGCCAATACCAAAATCTGAAAATGTTCAAGTCCTTTATATAAAATAGTATAGTTTGCATATAACATATGCACATCCTCCTATATACTTTAAGTCATCTCTAGATAACTTATAATACCTAATACAATATCTAAACGTCAATTCATTCACATGAATTCAATGCAGTACTTGGTACACAGAAAATTCAAGTTTTACTCTCTGTAACTTTTTGGAATTTTTTTCTAAATATTGTTGTCCATGGTTGGTTGAATCTACAGATGTGGAACCTCAATAAAAAGAAAGTGACAACTTCTCACTTATCTTTACTTCATTTCTATAGCCCCAGTAGTTCCTACATAAGGGCAGTAACAGATATATGGCCTTGGATTGAACAACAGAGTTGAACCAGATCTGCATTCCTCCTAAAAGGGTCTCAGAATTGTGTACCTTTGTGAGAAGACTCATTCCTGACTTACTCTGAAAATCTGAAACAATTCTGGTGTCTGTATCACTCCAAAAAGGGAACTTCTTACAGACTAAATGGCCCAAAAGGCAATTCTACATCTATCTAAGCTTTCTTAAAATCCAGGAGCTTGCCTAAGGGTAACAGTGGCAATTTCTAGCACTGTCCCACAAAGCTGAGCTATGCTCACCTACAAAACTCAATTCCAAGGAAAATGTCAGTTTTAATATAATAAAAGCTATTCTCAAGGCTGATTTTATTTCCCTTCTGAATGTGGTTTTTATTTTTAATATTTTTAGCCTTTCCTGACAACATTGAAAAGTCCTATTCTCTGTAATAATAAGAGCACATCAAATAGACACAAAGGCAAAGGGATGTTAAGGCAAAAAGCTAATTTTTCAAAGATGCTTCATGTAACCTCTTGCCTTCCCTTTTGCTCCTGCTAAATCCTAAAAGAGCAATAAAGGAGACAAACAACTGTGAATCAAAAAATGAATTACATTTTCTGTCATTGGTATTAGCATGCTGGATTTATACACATTCATTTTCAAAAGCTATTTCTATACTACCTGCCACTTTCTCTAAGATTGTCTGCAGATTCAAAATAGATATGGTATCAAATCTACATCTCCATTCTGTCTTCCTTTTGTTTATGCCTTTATCTAAGCACCAGGGACCAAATCATTTATTCTTAACTCTACACAGTGAAAGACAGACAGCAGAGGCCTTTTTTTAATCGTCGGAGGTCAATGAACAGATCTAAGTATATTAGTTGTGTGGTGGATTGTTTCTTTTCTTTGAAATACATTTATTTGGCATTTGCTATATGAAAGGAAAAAAGAGGCTTCTATTGTTAAACATTTAAGCTTAATTGAAAATTCATTATCGAATTCCTCAAAAGAATGAAAGTCTCAAAATTAAAGATGTTACAAGCTTAAATGCCACTCCAAGTGTGGCTTGATTTGCATACATAGATTTGTCAAATATTTAAACAGAAGTAATCAAGAAAGTCCCAGTCTTCAGTATCTCTTCTTTCTGAGCTTGAAGTCAGAATGGGATTACAGTGCAGTTGGGATCTGATAGCAGGACAGAGCCTGACCCTGTCACAATGTTCCCAGCAGGTAGGTAGTTCCCACAATGTCAAAACCACCTGAGAGAACGTTCAGAGTAAGCCAGGGGTGTGGCTGATGCTTGTAGACCACTAAGGGAAACGTAGGAGGACAAAAAAGGGTTATTACTTGAGGTAGCAGC